ATATTATAATTATGTTAATTCAATTACTATCAGAATCACACCCAATAAGGTAATTTAAATCACTGAACTGTCACTTTATATTCATAAAAACCAACTATAAATAAAAATTATTGCCAATAACTTTCTGTTTCGCATAAAAAACCAATTAAAACCATTTCACTTAAGATATATTGTTGAATGTTTCTTGTTCCTCTGAACTTTATCCGCAATATAGACAATAACCTAATAACCTGTCAATAAGTATGTAGTAGTAAGTTTAGCTGTCTAGAGGACGTTTAAAACTTACATTTTTTATATCAAAGGACAACAAACACTATTACTTGATGGTAAGCAATCGGCGCCACCCTTGAAAACCTGCAACCCCAGACGTCACGAGTGCTTTGGCAGTCTTTTAGGGATCAGGGTTTCGGAGAATTAGGGATTGTAGGAGGGGAAGAAGGATTGGGCTTCCGGTAACCTAATTCGCACGACGAAACATATCGCTATGGTTATTTCACACCAGTTTTCTATGAGGCCATGGTATCACTCCAGTCGTGCCGACCCTCCGGTGCTAAAGCATGGCTCTCCCACGCCTTTATATTTTTGAGTAACTACCGATTAGTGATTGCTTATTTGCGTAGTAAATAAGTGCGTTGGCGGTTGACGCGGTTTTTATTTTGCAAGTGATTGTTAAAGTATCTAGTCCTTTGGTAATATTATATTTTTGGCCTTGTTTAAACATTAATTAAGTCATAATTTTGTTTACGATTGTGTCATTATAAAATAATAAATAATATTTCTACTCAATAATTAATGTAGTAAGTACCTATAAATAAATCCTTCATGATAAGTGCCAATGACTTCAAATGTACAAACATATCTCAATCAAAATGCTGTCAAACAAATGATGATGCGATTCTCACATATAAAAGCCGGATCTTCGAACTATTTATAAGCTTATTATCTCAAAAACATACGACATCTTGCCCGTCATGCTTGTCACTTTAATGTTTATAAAAAGAAGAATGGTGACATTGTCGTGTGATACAAAAAATCATGTCATACGCCTCCTTTAAGTTGAACGTCCGTACAACATGAAGACCCTTACAGGTCCGTTATTTCCACGGTATTTCAATGGGTAATGTCCTCAATTATACACACCTTAATTTTAAAAAAAAACCTTAAATTATTCCATAAACACTTAAGAGGTCGAATTTCACTTGTCTTTCGGTACATTCCAGTTTTTAGTTGTATCGAATTGAAAATGCATGCCATTGACTGTCATTTTATTTTGGGCAAAGCAAACTTGACCCTTGTATTATATGAATTTCCAACGCTTTGCAAATGTTATAATAAACTAGCCATGCGCCCCCGCTTCGCACGGGTGCAATGCTAATACTATTTTTTTACATTATTTAATGGTTGTTATTTTCTTTTAAACGAAACTCTTCAACCATCATATGTATCTAACTGTTAAAAAAATCGCATTGAAATCCGTTGCATACATAGAGATATAGGGGCAAAGAAAGCGAATTTGTTTTACAATATGTAGTGATATATTATTAAGGATATTGATATAATCTTATATATAAAAATGGATCGCAAAACGCGTTGTAAGCGCATAACTCAACAACGCCTGGACCAATCTTGCTAATTCTTTTTTTGTTGTGTTTGTAATTGTCAGGAGAAGGTTCTTATGAAAGAAAATATTAGAAAAGTAGAGGGGAAGTTTAGGAAAAAGTAACCCTTTGATAGCGAGATAGTTGGACCCGTGCGAAGCGGGGGCGGGCCGCTAGTTTACAATAAAAGAATAGTAACTTTTATCAATAATTTTTAAATATTTTTCTATGCAACCTAAAATTTTATTTCAATCACGAATTTCAGTATGGGACGTAAAAACCCAACAATTACTCAATAGCTCTGAAAAACGAATAATTAGTACTGATTAGCATGTTACGCGATTTTTCTTAGAATCTTGCTCTAAATGCTTGCACTTGGTTATTGAACTCTTTCCCAAATGGATGTGCAAATTTACAACGAAAATATCCTTATCACTCATATTTATTTTATTTATTAGACAAATTTATTTTTTATAAAATATTTGCCTTCTAACTCTACGAACAAACATTTTCTAATTTTGCATTTTTGGATATTGGAATTTAAAATGAGTAATCTTTGCTTAAGGTTTACTTCATAATAGTTTTTAAGTGTTTGGGTAATCTATAGAGCAAATAAATCCTAGCTTAATTTATTAAAGTTTATTTAAATATATTTACTAAAGTAAAATATTTTTGAGTATTTGATTGAGTAGAGAAAGGTCAGTTTTGTTGCTCAAACAATTTTTTTTAATATAATATGAAATTTGAAAAATATCACTTATGTTTTTATACTTGAAACTTCAATAAAACGATTTCCTACTATTTTTATGATTGTACGCTAGCGAACGGGCATACTGATTACCTGATGGTAAGCTGTGCCATAGAGGCGGAGCGGAGAAAAGCTGTGCCGCGATTCACCAATCACATGGCTTGAAATCCACTTCGAGATAGATCCACATAAGAGATGTGGATTTCAAGCCATGTGATTGGTGAATCGCGGCACAGCTCTTCTCCGCTCTGCTGCTGCTGAACTGCACCCAAAGGATTCAAAGCTTAGGGTACTATGGTAACCTAACTTACACGGAAACGCGCTGTGGTTATTTCACGCATGGTTTTAGCGAGGCCGTATTATCACTAAACGATACACTTAAAGATTTTTTTATCAATCAATTGATCTATCAAATCTAACTTACAAATTATTACAAAATATATCATGGTGGTGTACCTACCACATACATTTTTATTTACTCCTTCAGGCAATTCTAACGTGATTTCATTTTCACATTAAATAATTTATTATAGCCATTGACTGTTTAAATAATGAGCGTTACAAACATAGATAACCATCGAACGAATAAATTACGTAAATAAATAAGTCTAACTTAAAACATGACTCATCAAACTTTTTTTCTATATGTTATTCTAAATTGACTTTCCAAAATGCCAAAAATTTTAAATATTTATTTAGCAAAAAGAAAAACAAGTTTTGCAAAAAAAAATTGTGTTATATTTCGTTGAATTTGAACAAAATGTTCTAGTTCGACCTGATTTAATTTTGAAACGATTTAAATTCTTCAAATTCTATATAAGGTAATAACTAAAAGTCAAGGACGTTCGACTAGAGTTTATGGGACTAGTTTTCTTTAGACTGACTAAAGTATTCGTGCGTGGGACTATGTCTAGCGATAAATAAGGATTTGAAAATGAACATAAACTTTTTTGTTTAGATCTCGAATGTTCAATACGTTGTTTAACGTTTTATAAGATACGTAATAACTGAATTCGATTAATTAAAATTGCAAGTTGCATGTACACTCATGCATTACTCGCCATTTAATTTATCTTGACTTTAATACTTATCTTTCTTAAGGTTCTGCAAGATATTGTTGGTGATAGGTACTTATCATTACTTATACTCAAATTGTTGATAAGAAATTTAGCTAGGCATCTTAAGTAGCTTCTGTATTGAACTCCTAAGCTACAACCAAGATAATAACATACTGCGGCCTCGACCTGTTTTGGAAAAGGAACGGGGTGATTTTTAATCAGTAAAAGTCTGACAATTCTTCTCACTGCACCAAGGGTGAGAGAAGACATTTGTACTCCATCCATGGTTCCAAGAACTAGGCCTCATATGATTTCCAGAGAGGTTTCACCATTTATAGATATTTTACAGGTAATTGACATTTAGATTTTGCAGATATGATAAGACATAATAAGAAAGATTTTACAGTAGACTAAGTAGAACGCTTGCAACTACATCAATTATCCCGAGCGTACGGCGTGTAGCGTTCCGCACGCGCCTGAAAGAGCCAATAGACCACCACAGACGGTGCCCTATAGGGCTGATGTTCAGCCGGGGTTGCGGGGTAAGCACAATGAGGCACCGCGACCTCGGCCCAGAGCAGGAGAAGGAACAGGGGGGTTTTTAGTCAGTAAGAGTTTGACACTCCCTCCCGCCCGGGAGAAGTCATTTGATGATTTTGCCCTCACAAAAAAAAAATTACATCAATTATATCCATTTAATGGATGTTTAAAATATTTGAGATACGTCTTCCATATATTTATATTTTATCAACTTACAACAAAACATAGATAAAAATAGGTACATGTTACTCTACATTTGTCATTTTATATCCAGCAAAAAATGTTGATAGACCAGATTTTATAAAAAGCAAAATTTTTAATGTTGACGTAATATGTACTCCATTATGTCAGCAAGGAAATTAGCATAAAGTTTGTCCAAATTTATACTTACAACATTTTAATATCAAAGCGCCTGTTACTTTGTAAATAACTTAAAAAAAACATCAAGCTGTTTGCTATGCTTATAAAAGAAGGTACATTATTCTTCAAACACTTCCTACAACTTCCTACGTCTAATAAGCACAACAAAAGAAAGGATTCCTAGTTTTGGGTTAATACTATAAAATCACTATTTCAAATTACCTCAGCATTCTTACGACTCGGAAGCAATCCAAAACTCGGTCCCCTCGACTCCCATCTACAGTTTACATAAAAAATAATCATATAATCATATAAGTGTGCGAGAGCCATGCTTCGGCACGAATGTGTTTTGCCGTGTGGGTGAGGTGACCGGATGCCCAATCCTTCCCCTCCCCCAATCCCTAAATCTCCAGATTCCCTAATCACCAAAAGGTTGGCAACGTACTCGTAACTCCTCTGTTATGGGTGTCCATGGGCGGCACTGATTGTTTACCATCAGGTATTACATAAAAAAAAAAAACAATAAATATCACGCGTTTTATATCCCGAGGGATGAATGAAGCTGGAAATTATAATAGCACTCACTATTGATTAGTTATAAGCCAGTGCTTATTAGACCTCTATATTGATAACGAAATGTTTCTAGAACTTATACAGTCATCAAATATTAACATTTTTTGTTTTGTCTAATTTCAGTTACGACGGCACTGACGGTTCATCTCGCACCGAAGAGGGTGCCATTTTGAACCCAGGCACCAAAGACGCAGCCTTGGACGTCGCAGGCGCTGTTCGCTGGTACGACGCAAAGGGCCACCTCTACCAAATGACGTACAAAGCTGGAAAGAGAGGCTATAGAACAATCATCAAGAAATTATCATAATACTTAGTCGACAATGTAATACGTGCCTTAAGTATTAGTTCGAATATACTTCGATAACAAAAGACTGGACATAATAATGTTATTTATTTACTAGAATCTAAATTATCTCGTGTAATATTTTTTGAGATTAATCTAAGTATGATCGAACGTTAATTAAAAAAATCATGTCGTAATCTATTTAATTTTTTAAACAAAATCAGTAACTCCTCTTTTAAAATTCTGTATAATGCAGTCTATGTAGTTAATAATTAGATCAAAATAACTTTGTGTAAATTAATTGTACATTAAATAAGTTCTTCTCTAATTAAAGTTTAGTAATAATATGTGTTTTTATTTTTCAGTCTTATATCCGATTTCTTTGTACTAATTAAGCTTTGTTTCTTTGTGGCTATGTTATATTTTAAAGTGGCGGTGACCTGAGAGTCACGCGTCCACTTCTTAAGCATGAGAATGCAGGTTCCAAGACCTAGCAAAAACAATGTGAATTTTTACATGTTAGATGAAATTTCTAAGTAGACACTACTGACAAATGGTGAAAGAAAACGTCGTGAAGATATCTATAATATCTAATTATAAGTTGGAAACCACCAGGCCGCCTTGAGCAAACATATATGTAGATAATCCCTCAAAGCATCTCCATGTGAGAAAAGGCTTTTGCTTAGCAGTAAGCGCTTGCAGGCTGATAATGTGATATGTATGGAATATTTCAATTTTCAGAATGCTTATAATCTATTCGTATACGAAGAGATTCCGTTGTATATAAGGCAGCTGCGTCCTGCATCCTATAATCGTCAAATATAAACTTTATAGGGCTTAATTAAAGTAAGCCGAACCATTCCTTCGTAGAGATAATAGAACAGAATAAATGTTAACATGGATAGACAGCGATAACGGAACGCTATCGTCGATCTTCTGTTTGATTAGCTAAAACATTATTTTAGCGTACTTACTCACATGCTGGTAGACCGTAGCTATTATAATAATAAGTAGTTTTGAATGGCTCAGCTCTATGCAGAATCCTCTTTTTATTGAGCGAGGAAATCATCAAATTGCAAATGACAAACCGCAAGCTTAAACCAGCACCCTCATACACAGAATGCCAGTATGAAATTGAGATAAATTTCCCGGCCCTGGCTTACGTACGGCTACAGGTAACCTGGTAATATACCTGTTAACCCATTTTTGAGAAGTACAAGTCGAATAATTCTTGGAAGTTTTAGTCTTTGCGAGATCTGCCTAATTATTGATCCGAATTTTTGTGTGATGTATTTGTAATTTTCTTAACGCAACCTCGACACAAAAAGACATCCTAGTGTGATGCAAGATTGTTTTTTAATTAACTCGTCGTTATCCTATGTCATAACAAAAGTAAGAACAGTATATAAAACATGGATGAATTAAAAAAAAAATAAGTAAAGTGAAAATGAAATGCTGAGATAGTTTATTCAAATAAAATAAATAAGTTACCGGCAAAAGTGCCTACCTAGCGAGACTGCAACGGAAACTCGACAAAGCGCACTTAAGATGAACGTCAATCTTTACAGCAAATATTGTATACAAAAAGGGTCATGTCAAAAATATTTTCAATTAACAGCGTGATGAGATTAATTGATATAGATGATGATTTCTTAATATGTATGTACTATTCATGTGTTTCAAGGCAAGTAGGTAGTTAATGAGCTATGATTGTAAATACAAACAGTCAGCCGACAGAATGTTTGTCAATTTCGGCGCATGCCATATTTCATAAGCTGATTCGTGTTATCACCTTAGTTACTGCACTCCAACAAATTGATGTAACTTAACAAATAGACAATGTATTTAAGGAGATTTTCATCGATTTTTATATCAGTCACAGTTTGTGTTTTGTGTCTACCTGGATACTAAATTATTATCATGATTGCCACGGTAAGTCTCAAAAGAATACTTCCATCAATTATTATCCCTTGCCTGCGGCGTTACTCCCGCTCTTTCCCATTCTGCCCTACTCGATCCCACTATACCCCATACTTTACCTTACGCTAACACTTCTTTAATCCACCCTAACTTACCTTACCACGCTTCCCTTTTTCAAAAACCTTCATAAGAGAATATTCTCTTGACTATACAAAAAAAAAAAATTAGCGAAATTGGTTCACTATCCACGAGCTTTGCGCTTAACTACACATTTAAGAAAGTTCGCTGTAATGAAATCTTACGTGAGATTTTTTTTAAGTTTTAAGTTTAAGTTCATCATACACCTCTTTTTCACAAGTAATCTCTGATAGGTTGATATCAACCATGGAAAAGTGTAAACTTGCGGCTGGTGTTTGAATATAAAACTTAAGTTGGTACATACCTATAAGTAAATAAAATGGGAAAAACCCTGTTGAAATCACAATAAAATAAAATTTACATAGACATTGAGCTGTCTAAGATTTTACATAACCCCTTAGACCTAGGTTATAGATGCAAAAATAACGACTGTTACGTCATTACAATTTTATGTGTGTCATATGTTACAAACAATGCTAATGTCATTCAGTTAACGGCCTAGCCTCTTTAAATAGAGATACCGCATTACAATTATATATTTAATATTAATTTCATTAGTTACTTTTTCTACTTGTTTTACATGTAAAAAGAGGTCAAAGTTATGTATTTTTAATTACAGAAACTCTTCGTATTCGCTCTCCTTGCTGGAGTTTTGGCAGTAGAAGAGAAACCTGTTGCTGAAATAATAACAGAAAGTACAATTGTTAATCCCGATGGATACAGTTTTGAGTGAGTATAATACAATACCTATCATAAACAGAGGATGTAAATAAATTACATACAAAATCATTTATTATTTATTTACAAAGAAAAATTCAACGACTGAGTTTTTTAAATGAGGCTAACGACGACTGGGACCACTCATAAATGATAACTGAAATAATGAAATGTATATTCAATAGAAAATTTTTCGATGTTATATTTTGATGAGCGGTCTTATTTAATTCACACTTTCGTTAATGTTGTTTTTTTTTAATTTCATTATACGGTACATTAGTCTACAATGAACTGTCGAATGTTTAAATAATGACAAATATTTATTAGAAGTAGTCCTAACAAAAGATGTTATGTACTAAAAAATATGAGAACATTTATTTATATTCATGCCTTTATAAATTAATACTCTAACTCATAGGAATAGTAACTAATTTTTATTTTAACGTCCGTCTTTTAGATTTAGGTATTCAAAACATTATATACCTATATTGTACGAATGTATTTTTTTGGTTATTTCAATAAATACAATGGGTACATTTTATATGTTGCTATGTAGCGACCCAGTACTCCTAAAGTCAAATTTGTATTATCTTTTCGTCGTACTAATTAAATTTTAATATGCCTAATAATACAAATCACTAATAATAAATGCAATTCCTCTTGCAGCTTCAAAACCAGTGACGGTATATCCAGGCATGAAGAAGCCAATCTGATCACAGTGGGAGACCAACAGGGTATCTCAGTCAAAGGGTCCTACTCCTACCTGACTCCCGAAGGCGAAGAATACCAGATCACCTTCACCGCTGACGACAAAGGCTACAAACCCACTCTCCGAGTTGTCCCCGCTCATCAGTAATTTGCCAATATTTGTACTTTTGTATTGTTTTTTACCCATTTGAACTTAGATGACATTGTGATTAAAAGATTTTAAAACAAAACTTATTTCTTGTTTCTTTTGTTTCCTTCTGAGATTGAACGCGACGTGCACGCTGCTCGTGAATAAGAACCCTAATGTGGCTTAAAACTAGTCGAGCTTTTCTCAGTTAATACGCCTGAGTAAGTCATTATTTTTACACGACACCCTAAAAAAAGAAGTGTTATTTATATGATATAGATTTCATGTATGTAATTGACTTGCTGTGTAACTTCAAAATGCCTGGGCAGAATTAGCATATCGTTGCAATCCTTAAATCATCCCGGATGACATAGGCTTTTTTTTTGTTTTGGAGTGGAAAATCCTCATGGAGACCCACCGCCCTCGGGGAAGAGGTAGTTTCAGACTTTTACTGACTAAAAACCAACCCGGTGGGGTGACATAGGCTAGGTTGTGTCTTCATCATACGAGTTTTCTTCTTGACAACTTGTTTTTTACTTTTTAGTTCATTTTTAAACATGGCCGGCGAGATTTTATCTTTTTAAATGAATCTTTATCAAAATCAATACCGGGTGTAAGGGACAACGTCTGATAGAGGTTGCTCAGTCAACGAAACTGAACAACTATAACCAGGTACATACTTTTTTCAGGAAACGAAAAAAAAAATGATTTTCCATACAAATTGTCAGGTCGAGGTGATCATTTTGTATGGAAAAGCATGTTTTTTTCTCGTTTCCTGAAAAAAATTCCTGGTGATAGTTGTTCAGTTTCGTTAGCAACCCCTGTAAGTTTGCGGGACGCTGTCACTTACACCCAGTATAATATTTACTTACCTTTTTGATTAAACAGAACTGGATTTACTAAGTCAAACATTATTTTAAGATTTTTCTAAAGAATATATTTTAAGAAAATGTAATACCTAATAATATTTTTATTCCTTGATTAATTTTAAAAAAAGTTTAAGTAATTAGAAATCAAATATTAATAAATAATTTTAATACTTTTTTCAAGGAACATTTGAAGACACGAAACATTGTCTCACATAAGTATTCAATTCATTACCGTTATGAGAAGACACGATGTAACCGTGATCGTGATATATAAATTTGAAAGAATGTAGAATTTAAATTTCACGACGAGAAAGTGGTGTCCATAATTCAAGCAAGAACAACCTTTAGGATTTATTCAAACTGTTACAAGAATAAAAATAAAAATGCTGAGAGAAAAAGATGCTATTATAAAAAGAACATGCTATGAGAATTATTTTAGTGAACCTTATCATTTTAAGTTTTTATGATTTATAGCCAATATAATTGTAAAACGTATCTAATAATGTACCGAGGCTCCGGCCCAGAGTAGGAGAAGAAACGGGATAATTTTTAGTCAGTAAGGGTCTGACACTCCCTCTCGCCATACCGATCCACCGACGAGAGAAGTCATTTGATGGATTTCAAGGCTCAAAAAACGCTACATAGTTTTATGATATACAACTATATTTTTATATCATCACCACACAACTTTACTACTACGAAGCAATACAAAAAATATCAACGGTTTCTAAACAGCCTTTTAACTTTAGTCCCAGTCAGTCAGTAGTCCAGTTCGCAAAATAATTTGAAATTAAGTAGATCTACCTACTTTCAGATGAACCTTCTTAAAAACGAACATTCGATACTTGTACTAAAATGTGTGCCTTGAATCATTGTCACTGTTCTCGCATCGTGTGATTTCATTTAGTAAGTTCGTGCCGACAATATTTTAGCAGGCACTTAATTTAATTACACTCTTGTTCTTGTTCAAAAAGCGGACTTCATCAGATGGAATCATCAGTCCACCACCACCAAAGACACCAAAAACTGGTAAGAGCTTGTAATTTTACAATTTATACCGAATTTTTAGTGAAAAAGTTATTTTGTGTAACAGAACGTTGAATATCTAAATGATTATTACGAACAATCCAAAGCTGATCTGAATTTCAAAGAGATGATACCACAGATATGATTTACCTAAAGAATTCTTAAGCAAATAAATTGAAATAAAATTAACTGTAACAGATTATTTTTGGTTTCAGATAACTGATGTTAAGCTTTTTCAAAATCGACGAGAATGAACAAAGCCAATACGAATATGGATGAAAAACTAAACACCAACGACTAACATTCATCTGAACCAAAGTAATTAGAAAATAGAGTACAATTATGTCGTATTATTAATTTAAATATGATTATAAGAAACAATACAAAACTGATATTCTGACTTATTAAGGAAGACATTTTTATTAATGATTCTAAAAATAGCTATATTTCTGCCTATGTGCTGCACATACTGTAAATTGCTCATACATATTTTTTGTTATTTCAGATTTATTGCTGTTTATAAGTAGAAATTATTTGGTAAGTTAAATGATAAAAATATAGAGGAGTCATTTTCTAAACCAAAAACCTAATTTAGGTAAGTAGCTAGTCAGCGTTACCAAGGCTTTTCTTTTAGCAAATAAAAAAATCATTGCCTTTGGTTCTCTTTTTGTCTCTTCCAAATAGGTTTCAATTATCTGCGTCACTAAGTAAAATTAGCAGAACCAAAACATTAGCTTAAATGATGAGTCATTTACCTAGGTAATTGAAAATCATTAATCATTAAAAAACAATAATACTATTCAAGCCAATTCTTTTTGTGATTGTGTCCTATTTGACTTTTAAATTGGAACGTGATTTTAATGCTGATTAATTATCATAAAATATGTCTCACAAAGAAGATTTAAATCTTTGACGAACTACCTAGAGTTTTTACGTTGAACTACAATCGTTCTTATGACTATTTGCATTCGGTTCATAGTTGATATAAAAAGGTTAAGAAGACAATATTTGTAACAAAATAAAATACAAAATTTTACCCTTTGGTAGGCAGTTGCAAATTTATTTGGCAGTGTTATTATATGGGGACCAAATATCCCTTTCAAGCGTTATATTTTTGGTTTCAGCGAATATTTTGTGGAACTTCGTTCTTCTTTGGTGGGAGTTTAGGCTTCAGGAGCTGGGGCAGCGGGAGCTTCGGCAGCGGGAGCTTGGGCAGCGGGAGCCTGGGCCTTGTCGCCGGCTTCTTCATTAGGCTGGTAGCCATTCTTGTCGGCGAGGTAGGTGACTGCGATGTGCTGGCCATCCGGAGCAACGTACTTGTAGCTTCCCCTCACGACCAGACCCTGTTGTTCCGTGTCGTTCTTGTACTCGCCAGTCTCCTGCCTTGAAGTTCCGTCGCTAGTCTCGAACCTGAAATGATGAGAAGAAAGATATTATTACCCGAGTGAGTTGAACAAACGTAGTCCATTTTTTTCTACATGTGCATTTATCTCATAGAATAAGTAGTTATAGATCACCATAATTTCTTGACTCAAGTAGCCCACTGTAAATACACTTGCGGTTAGGTTGATCTGCTTAACATATTTGCGTGCGGTTAGTTTGTTTGACTAACAAAACTTGGTGATTAATACAAATAAAACAAATGAAGGAACAACTGACTATTGAAGGTTTTTCAGTTAAGTAGACACTATCTCCAAAAACTGAATAAAGTTTTGTACCTAATGCGTTTCCTAATCCTAATCTGTCTGAACGCCAAAAATAAACATATAAAAGTACGGAACGAAATTTTATGCTATTTATAAGAATTCAAAATTAAAATGCTTGTGTGGTGTGGTGCCGCTTATCACGAATGAGACATTATCTGAGTTATAATTACTTTCTAAGATTATTTTTACAACACTAACAGGCGGTAAAAGAAAACATCGTAAGAAAACTTGTAGGTTTTATTTATATTTTTGATATTGCCAGTTCGTTTTGAGTAACCGTAATGCTGAATCTTATGAGAAAAGGCATTTGCCAGCCACCTTACAGATATCGTCAGTCCACCTAGCTGGAGGGTGCCCTACACTACGTTTGCCTAGACGCGGTGTCCACTCCAGCTTTACCTCAACGGTCATCGGCTCTTTGACAAATGAGACCTACTCACTGCCACTTGAGTTTGCTATTCCTTTAGTTATATCTAAACTAATCAGCCATGTAATAGTATTGTAATATGTTATTTTAACTTACTCAAAGTTGTATTTGTCCACATCAACATCGTCAACTTGCTTGACAATCTGAACAGCGGGGGCCGCGGCTACTACGGGCGGCGCTGCTTCCTGAGCGCAGGCTACTGCAAGAGCGGCCAGAGCGAACAGAGTCTGAAAAATTAAACATGAATTAGAAAATTATAAAATTAATTATTAATTTTATAAAATATTTTGATATAAGAAGAAGTAAGCAACAACAGCAAAAAAGCTATTCACGTCATTAATTGTTAATAGGATATCTTATTTCAATTTTAATAAAAGAAAATTATTTTTGATGGTCACATTATGGTCCAGGATCTATTAATAAATTTTTTTTTTTAATATTTTTAGAGAAAAAATCGAGAATTACTTACAATTTTCATCATTTTTGTAGTGGTATTTTTTTAATAAAATTCAAGCAAGGATGTGTTGGTGGTAGGACGAGTCCTGAACGTCTATGCTCTGAAGTTACATGTTGAGCTATAAATATCATTTCATTGTATTGACAATGCGATGTTTCGAAGTTTCATTGGGAGGCGAGGTGTTAATCACAATCATGCAAACAGTTTATTTAAGGTGATCCAAGAAACGTTACAGGGATTTGTGAATTGTGTAAATTGTTTGTCATCGGTCACAGTACGCGTGTCTCTCTTAACCTACATCGAACGCGCATCCTTGAAAACACGATTTTTGTTTTCATATAGAGTTCACACTAACGTGAAAATGCATCGCTATTAAAGCTATTAACAAATGTGCTAATTGTATCAAAAACATTAGGCTCAGGTATTTTAAATGAGAGTAAATATTACATCAAGGTACGTAGATTCGTTGCGGAACTATCGTTGATCTTAGATCATTTCCAGGATTACATTCAGGTAATTCAAACGTTTTGCTTGATTTTTTTTTGTTCTACCTATACTTATTAAATTTATACCAGTTTTTCAATTGTGCTATTCTTCATCCACATTTTGGCCGCAAATGTGTTTTCTTATTATTATACAGTGTTCCATTAATTCATAATATATGTCATTATTATAACAATTTTGTTTCACACATTTACTTCAAATATCTATTTATTCCCGCACATTTGATATAAAGCGTGGTGGCTCGGAAGTTGAGACCGGGTTCGAAATTAATATTAATACTTCTACTAAAGATTATTTATATTGATACTATTGACATACGGTAAAGGAAACCACCGTGAGAGGAAACCTGAACTTACAGTTTCTAATTATAAGCAGTGGGCACTTATAGGCTGGTGATGTAATTTGATCAAAATATAAATATTAGTGCGAAGTTTTTTTGGTCATTCATAAACAGTTGTCGACCTCAACACTCATACTCGACGGCCGACTCAGTCAGAGGTGAAGATATTTATAATAATATTTTTACTTGATTAATTAAACGTTATAGACACCATGTACGCCTACATACTTCCTCGACAATTTTAATGAGACACACAATCACCAAAGCTGCTAATTTAAACATTAAATTAGCAGCTTTGGTGATTATAGTATATGGTTTGTCCTTCTAACAATATCTCTGTTAGGATCAGAGCCCATTTTCTAAGAGGATGTATCAGTAGGGCGGGTCACGAGTTCATATCAAACATGACATCACCCCACGAAGTTAGTACAAAGTTGAGTTTTAATTATTGGTTGCAATGACTAAAAAGGTCGTACAAAACGCAAGGTACAAGTTCCCTAAGTATTTGATGTTGTAGATCTATGATTAAGTGCGTATGTACATATCGTATAAGTTACGTAATAGACAACTGCGTTAACCCACACCACGCAATATGTCATTGTAATTGAATTTTCAATAAAATTCTCTAAGTTGTTGCCGATTTTATTATAAGAATTTGTAAATAATTAATAAATAAATTCTTTATATTTTTTTATTTTAATTCATTTACTTACACATTTTTTTTGTACAATCTTGAAAAGCCTGAAATCATAACGGCAGTCGGGAGCTCAACATAGTCAGCTAAAAAAGGCTTAAACTTTTTTGTTATTAGTAAGTGAAATTGACTACCTACGTTTAATTAATCACAGTAGTATACTGTGATTAATTAGAAACAACAAGCGCTAATAAGCTATTGGGACCTCCTCTTGCAGGCGAGTAGAGTATAAGTATAGAGATTTTTTTCTTATACAAGAAGATACCAATTACGTAACAGTAATCTACAACAGTAATCCACTACACTATGAAATCAGAAGCAAGACTTAATAGGCAATGCAGAACCATCATAAAAGCAGTTGTTAATGAATTCCTATTCTTTTACTATGATTTAATTTGAATAATGTTTTTATATGTTGGTTAAATGGTCAACCCTATTCTATCAGGAGTTATTAGTCCAGTCGAAACATATTTTAGTTGACCTCGTACTATAATACACAAACGGAGAAACGAACCATGCTTAGATTTCGTCAATGGGTAACAAAATTGAATCAAACGCGGAATCAACAGTCATTATATAAATATAAGGTCATTATTTTATACTAATGGCTATATTATTGTTAAGCGTAAAAACCAAAATGCGTTCTGAGTCGTCGGAGTAGATTAAGCTTAAACCAACGTAATATATGGTATGGTATGGTCAACGTAGTATATGGTCTTAATAGCAACGATTAAAATTGCTAAAGAAATTGGGTAGATCTAGTTTGGTAGCTAACTGTTGAATATGTTGAAGTAGGTAGTAGACCAAATATCATGAGAATGATAGCAGTGCAGTGCATATCTTATCTATCTTTTATAAGCACCCAGCTAAGATCCGATATTCTTCTTAAAACAGAGAAAGTTAAATTAAATAGGTTTAAGAAGATTATAAGATACGATGCGACTAGCATGAACTCTGTATAAAAGTCTCTAAATATAGTAAAGAAAAAAAAAATACAGAAATGACGAAAAAAAGAAGAGAAAAAATCTAATCTGAATTAAAATATAGTCCTTTAAAGGTAAGTATAACCTTTAAACATCTTACTGATTACCTAATATTATAAAAATCATCCAATGACTTATCTTTCTTTTAGGGGGCGAGGGCGATAGGAATTGTCAGACTCTAAACTTAAAACCATCCTGTCCATTATCCTGCTCCAGGCCGATACCACATTCCATTATTGTGCTTCACCCAGAATCCCAGTTAATATTAAGTATACCATCTCTGTTGTATAAGCAATGGGTTTCGAGGACGAAAAAACAATTCGCATTTCTTTCAGAAAAAAATCCCGAACAAAACTCAGTCTTGTAATTAAAGTTTGAAAAGCAAGATTCAGCTACAAATTCTGCAGCCGCAGGTAAGCGCAATGAGGCACCGCGACCCCGGCCCAGAGCAGGAGAAGGAACAGGGGGGTTTTTAGTCAGTAAGAGTCTGACACTCCCTCCTGCCCGAGATAAGGAAGGAGAAGTCATTTGATGATTTTCCCCTCACAAAAAAAAGCTGCGCATTCCTTTCAGAAAAAAATACCAAACAAAACTCAGTCTTATAATTTAAGTATGAAAATGTAATATTCAGCTATAAATCCTGAGAGCAGTTTTTGATATATACTGCGCATCACTGTTAAGTGTGACTACATTGTGCGCTCCAAACAACATAAGTACTTTTATAAATAAATACCGGTTATTATGTCATACATTTGTCATCTTTATCTATTATCGTCGACATGAATGTACACAAGTAACTGCATTTTGTTAACTTACTGTTTCCGTACCTTAAAAGACCAGGTTGAATATTTATATATTTCATCATCATCATCATCAGCCTATAAGTGCCCACTGCTGAGCAAAGGCCTCTTCTCACACGGAGAAGGTTTGAGCATTAATCACCACGCTTGCTCAATGCGGGTTGGCGATTTCAAACTTACAATTAGAAATTATAAGTCCAGGTTTCCTCACGATGTTTACCTTCACCGTATGTCAGTGGTGTCTAAATACTCATAGAAAGTACATATAACTCGGAAAAAGTCACATTGGTACTTGCCAGGTTTCGAACCCACACTCTCATGTATGAGAAGCGGGCTCCTTAACCTCCAGGCCACCACGACATACATTTTTATATTTAAGCCAAGTGTAGTCAAACACCATGTATTTCTATGTATTGTACCAGTAAATATAAAATTTAATAAAATCATTTATGAAAGCATCAAGTGGCGTCTAGCCTTTCAGTTTAATGAAATTAAAACGTGTTTTAAAAATCATGTAAGTTAATTCAGCATTTTTATGGTAAACAAAGTCTTTTATATACATCTTTCAAATGATGACGACGAAGATTATGATGAGCCAAGTTTAAAAAAATAAACACATCAGTAACACGTGTTTTAAAAATCAAATAAATTCATATGTACATCATTTCATGGTACCTAAACAAAGTCTTTTATACGACTGTAAGTAGTAAATACAAATTAGAATTGCATTTCGATATATGGATCATTAATGAAAACTCAAAGAAAAGATGCCTAATAAAATATATCACTTTAATTTTATATAGAAGATAAGCCTATACACAACCCATACACATTCCATTTCACAAGTGTGAAAAAGATACATTGCAAATGTAAATACAGCATTTAATTTTATTTACACGCTTGTTAAGAATTTCTATAAATTGCTTAGTGTCATCAATATGCATGTTTTATCTGATAAATTATCTACTTATTTTCCCACGCGAATCATTGAGTTAAAGTAGCTAACTTGAGTTAATAATATAAGTGATGGGATATTTTCCAATATTGAACATCTCATAATATAACATAATGTTATATTAATATCTGAAAACAAAATTGCATAAGTACTTACTGTGCAGATAGACAATACAAGACAGTTTTTACCTCTTGTATGACCCTCGTGTAAAAAGACTTAGTCGTAAAAAGCCATCCAGTACTGCCAATGTAGAAGTACAATTTCAGACTCTATGCTGATTACAAAAGAATTAAAACCCTAAATCTAAGTCGAGACTAATGGTATAGCCAATTCCAATATTTTGGAATTCCGTATTATATTGTTTATTCTTAATTTTGCACCTAAGTTTGTGAGTAGATTTTGTTTTAAGTGCTGGTTATTGCAATGAGAAATCTGTTGGGTTAGATCTAGGTAAGATTTTACAAAATAAATAAATTATTTCGACCGATATAAGTCCTTTGTACTTTAGCCTTAAAACCAGATAAGTTATTTAGTAATTCTATTCGATATCAATTTATATAAAAGTGATGACTTACACTTGTATACATATTACTAAGATAACTTGCAACACACGTGATGTAAGCTATGAAGTTATAAGTAGGTATGTGAATATTTAAGAGACACTTAATCAAACATTTGTTTTGTGTGTACCATAACAATACAAGTACGCTTGTAAACAGAATGTGTTATTTGATTTACTCAACTTCCCCATGATTAATTTTGTAATTTTTTAGGCTATATGAAATCGCCATTCCGTCAAATCTACCAAACTAGCCAACCCGATTTCACCGCCAACTGCCTGGAGAAAGAGATGAAACAATTGTTGTTGTGTGTTGACTCGTGTTGACTCG